TTTTTAATGCAAAGATGACATTGTTTGTCACGACTACCTGACATAAACAAATACATCACAACAGTTTTCATCTATGTCATGACAACTTGACTACACCAAGACAACATATATTGTCATAAATCTGTCATAAACATGATTTTCATGAGGCATTATATTTGTGTCATGAATATTTTTCAGATCACCTTTTCAATGAAACAAACTGAATTTGTCATTAAAATGTCACATTGAAAGGCTCATTACTCTGTCAAATGTTTAACAGTGACATTAATATTTAATGACATTTTATTGACAGATTCGGCTTGAACCACTAGTTAAGGTAAAAAAAATAAATTAATGGCACGGTTATAAAATTCATAAAAAATTATAATGAATATTATATTATATAATATAATTATATAATAAGATAATTATGTTTTTGACAGATTTAAGACAAGTTTTGTTGTATGGTAGTGTCAAGTTGTCATGACAAAAACAGAATATGATGCATTTATGTCAAGTTGCTATGACAAACAAAAAAATGTCAGACCAAATGTAACAGACCAAATGATGCGTAATGACAGTCATAAGCATGCATAAAATGTAATTCACATTCAAGACAGGTGTCATGTCACTATAATAAAAGTTTAATGACATTCTTATGAACATCCCTTCAAGTAAAGTTTTACCAAAGCCATTAGTCCATGTAAATAGTGCACATGTACATGGTCATCCATCTGAAAATGGAACTCAATATACAAAACAACTATCTTTCACTGGTCTACCACTGCAAGACAATCCACTTGGTGCCCATTGTATGAGCTTTTGATGGTTGAATGAGGTCATAATGGACACTCTAAGCAACTTTGAGTGTGATGTGTTATGTTTCATCACATTCATCCGATAGTCATTATCCATTTTGTGTGACTTGTTCCAAAGTAGACCTTCTTAAGACTTGGATCAGACAGTATAGCCTTTGTTGCCCTCATGGATTGGTGAGACTTGGGCGCCCAACACCCTGTTGTTGGTTTGTGGTTTGTCCCTCTTTGGACCACTGCTGGTAAACTTTCACCACTGCTGACCCAAAGCAAACCACAAACCTCGCTGTTTCAAAGACATCCTGACCCAGTCCCTTTGCCATAACATTCTGGCTTTCGTCCAAGTAGCTCTGATCTTTATTCTTACCCATTTCCCTTGCATCCACGCTGACTTCAAATATTTAAAAAACCTTGAGCTCTGCTCTGATAACTTTTGATGCAAACATTTTACCAAAGTGACTTTTATTGACATTTTTAGTCGTTTGAAACAGTATTTTGTTGTCAGGATTCTTCCAGTAATGCAAAAAGCTTGATTTGGAAAAAATAAATAGTTATTATTTTTTTCCCAAATCTAAGAAAATAATAATAAAAAAAGTTTTTAGGGCTCAGATGTCAAAGGGGTCATTTATTCATTCATTAATTTGCCTTCAGCTTAATACCTTTATTTATCAGTGGTCGACATTGCAGAATGAATCGCCAACTTATCCAGCATGTTTTAGGCAGCGGATAACCTTCCAGCTGCAATCCAGCACTGGGAAACACCCATAAACACTTGCATTCACACTCATACACTAAAGCCATTTTATTAAACTCACCTGTACCACATGTCGTTGGACTGTTGAGGAAACCGGAGCACCTGAAGGAAACCCACGCGAACATGAGGAGAACATGCAAACTCCACATAGAAATGCCAACTGACCCAACTGGGGCTCAATCCAGCGACCTTCTTGCTGTGAGGCAATCATACTACACACTTACTGTAGGAGCTTTATCATCAGGTAAATTTAGGAGCTCTTTGTCATCCTTCTGTGGATATAAAAGCCAACATAAACATACTAATTTAGCGCATATTAAAACAAATAAGGAAAGAAAAACAGACACATCTACAAACGGAGGGGGAAAAAAACACACCAAAACGAATACACAAATCAACTTACCAAATTTGATTTAAAGTTACCAAACCTTTTAAATAAAATACATTAAAGCTATGTGTGGCCTCTGTTCTCTATATAGTCTTGGTTGGTTACATAAATTGTGGTACAACACACACGTCAAACAACTAAAATTATAAATATCTTTTCTGTTAAAATGTAGAATTGAATTTTCTAAGCAAATAGACCTCTAGACAACAAATGTGCTGAAAACAGTGTGGGCAGGCAGAAGCAGATCATACAGAGCTGTGGGACAATTCAACCATTTTGGAATGATGTAGAGTTGTTTTTATTTCTGAGGTGTTTGGATACAGAGTTCCTCAGACTGCATTATTTTTGTTTATGGGAGACTGAAAGACATTTTCCACAAGAGGTGATTAATATTTATGTAAGATTCTTCTTGTGGCATGCAAAAAGACTATATAATAAGGAACTGGCTTAAAGACTCAATGTTGAAACGCAAGCAGTGGTTTGAGATAATTGCGCAAATTCAGGTAATGGAAAACTGACATTTATGTTGAGGAAGAAAATTGATATTTTCAGGAAGGGTTGGAAAAAACAGTTGATATATAGGAAATATAAAGCCATCCCCATTTAAGTGAATTGTAATGGGCTATATGCACAGCTAGTGTTTTTCAGGCAATGATAAACTTCCGGTGAAAGCTTTATGTGACTATTTTCAATTTCATACGGTTCCTTTTACAGCATCAATGTTGTAATTTTATTCAAATATAATAAGTTAAATAGACTTAAGCATCCATTTGGTTGTTAAAGCATAAAAAGAGAGGAAAGACCATTTAAACGCAGGCACCGTCATTAGCAGCAGACTAGCGCAAAAAATTCTATTGAAAATACTGTGGTAAAATTAATTTCCATATTTTAAAGACATGGCATGGAAAAATACAACTTAAGACAGTGCATCTTGTTTGGTTTTAAACCCATTTAATATTGTACTAGGTCAGGCAGTAAAAATCGCTATTTATTAAAGAAATCAGATCTTAAACGTGTCAATTTATTATTTATCTTAAATGATTATGGCCTTACATTCCATCCAGACTCTTACTGATCAGTTTCTATTAAAAGTCCCAAAGGCCCACCTCAAAAGTAGGGGTGAACATGCATTTGCCATAGCAGGTCCTTGCCTTTGGATATTGTTTTTTTTATATATAAATGTTTTATTGTTCTGTCACAACATTTTAAAAGTGGAAAGCCTTTCACTATGTCTGTCATATCAGTCATTTATGTTCTTTTCACTCAATAAAAAAAAAATAAAAAATAAAAAAATAAATAAATAAATAAATAAATAAATAAATAAAAATGGCTTCGTCACATTTCGTGACATTTATGTATATATATATATATATATATATATATATATATATATATATATATATATATATATATATATGTGTGTGTGTCTGTGTGTGTGTCTGTGTGTGTGTGTGTAATTATGTATGTGTATATTGATATAGAGTGCTTAGCGTAATTATATATTTTGATATTTTGTACAATGTATTTTGGTGCATTTAAAAGCAACAGATTTATTAAACAGATATAATTATTAAAATAATATTTTTAATATAATATTAAAATGAAATTTTCTAAATTTAGAAAATGAAAGATAATAAAGTTTAATTTAAGCAAAATGTTCCAAAAAGATTACAACATACACAATTTCAACAAAATCTTTCCATTTTTTTTTTGTTGCTTCTTTTGATTTTTCCTCTTTGTTTTTTATTTGTATTTAATGTTTTTCTATGAATTTGGGTGTACTTGTTTTGGACCCTTATCTTAAGTTATTTTTTTTAGATTAGCTCCAGATTTAGCTTCAGTACTGACTAATTTAATATACATACACATATAAAATATTGTATAGCTTCCTATATTTTAAAAAAATGTATTTACAGGAGAGATTTGCAAGGGGTGTACAAATATACAGTATGACGAGTATTGCATGTGTATGTATGCAATACTATGTTATAATGTTTTTAGTCAGTTAAATAATGTTCTGTATACTGTAAATGTTCTGTTAATTGATTGTTCTGTATTGTGAAATAATTAAACTAAATAAAAACAAAAGTAATTAAAAAAAAAAGAATTGGATTATTTTACAGAAATCAAAGTCCCATGATGCAATATGAGTGTTAATAAACAGCAATAAACCCTTTCTCATTTTAAGCTTTCCTACATCAACATTTTCTCAGGAAATCTAATTATAACTGCAAGCAAATTCCAGCTAAATTGCGCGAGCTGAATATTCATTTGTGAACCACTGTGCATTGTTTTATATTTCCTTTCCGTTCTTTTATCAGCAAGGATCTCAGATCGACAGCTCTTTGTGGGTTTTTGGGTACACTGCAAAGATTACCAGCATAATCGCGAGGAATGTTTGTAAAATGGAAATATTCCACTCTTCACTCAAGACTAAAAAAACTGCAGCACTCCAAATATGGCCTTCCAGGAAGTGGTGATATAATTAATTTAACAAAAACCAAAATGAGTGGGGAGAAGATCCATTATAGAAATAATTATATAGTATAAACTCATTTGATATGAATTATGGCATGTCTTGTTTTTAATAATGCATACAACAAAAGGTTTATATTAAACATAAAGTGTATATGAAGGTATATACAGTAAAGTCTATGAAAAAGAAAAGAAAAAATAAGAAAAAAAAAACAGGAGGTTGGAATGCTCTCATTATGGACTTCCTGTCCCAGTGTGGGATCAGACAGTACTCTTACTCAGTATTTAGAGGCCACACACCCTATAGTTTAGCATCCTAAAATAGACACGTACAGGAGAGGAAGTTTGGGTGAGCGCACACTGTACTGTGTGTCATTGCATTATGTAAACATTCTTACTGTGGCACTCTCATTTTCTTGCATATTCCAGCTCTAGTTAATGTGCCCCCACAGTAATCGGAGTGTTGGCGAGCAGGAAGTGATGCCGCTACCTTAATTAAGAGCCAGCCTGTTAAATAGCCCTTTCTCTAGACACACCATTAAATCCAGTCTTTAGCTTTAACTGTAAACACTCTCTGTAAAGTACTCTTACATTCAGTCGATCGCCACTGCGCTCCTGGACTTTGCACTTTGGGATTAAAAGAAGAGCAAGGTAAGGTTTTCAAACTTTTTTTTTTAATCTTTTATATTTTATAAAATCTTTAAAAGTAATAATAAAGCTACTGAACAGTAATATAAACTTTATTCTTCATATTCAGAATGAAGTCTGCCCTATTGATTCTTTGTCTGTTGGGAGCAGCCTGTGCTAATCCAGTAAGTACTATATTGAATAACCTTTAAAAAGCAGCTCTTTCAGTTCTTTTTCAGCACTTTCTTTAAATATTTTCTGCAGATCTTGCATAAAGTGGCTATGGAGATGATTCAACATGCATCTAACTCTGTAAGTGGCGCTCAGGATAAATGAAAATGTTTTGTTTAAAAGGTGTTTTAGGTATTGCTGTTGCTATAATATTTATATATTACTGCTCTTATATTCAACAGTCGGAAAGCTCCTCAATATCTGAATCCTCAGACCAGAGTAATACCTCAGAACCTTCGGAAGAGGTATGCTTTTGGTCAAATAAAATGAATTTGTACTTGAACTAGAATGACGAATTGAACTGGATTTTTTTTTTCAATCATATTTCAATAAGAATCCTTTTTATTTGGCATTCCATGAATATGTTTAACTATACATGCAAATGCATATATACTAAAAAAAAATATTATTGAAAATAAGTTTATAAAACTTTTTTTTTCTTTTTTTACATTTTTATTCTATTAATAATGTCAAGAGAAATAAATTGTAGTTTTTTCTATTCCAGAAATGTTATGTAATACATGTAATAAATGAAATAAATGTAATTTATTTTTTATTTTTGTCATTTTTATTATTTTTTGTGAAGATTGTTAGCAAAAGTAACATGGAAAAGTAATCATTTTAGATAGATAAATATTAATTTATTTACATAAAAAGTATATTTATACTTTAAATAAATATATTTACCATTTTATTTATTTATTTCTTTACAGAAGTCAGAGGAAAATGTTTCCGACAGCAATGTAAGTGCAAAGACCTATGTCAAAATATTTGATTACAATATTTAGGCATATATTTCTGTTAAAGATATATGCTCAATTCACTTTTTTTTTCTGTTTCCCCAACAGAGCTCTGAATCACTTGAATCTGAATCAGATGAACCGGTATACTCAAAATTGCTGTTCATATCTTAAAATCAAATGTACAAAATACAAATACAACTATTTAACTAACAAATTTGTATTTATTTATTGTTTGTTTGTTTTCTAGATATCTAAAGAGAGTGAAAGCCATTCTGTGGAAAGTCTGGTACGAAAAAAAAAGCTCTATTATAATATGTGACCCTGGAAGACTATTTATTTTGAGTATTAAGTAATGATCGATCAAGACTTTTTTTGTTAATTTCCTACTGTAAATATATCAAAGCTCAATTTTTTAATAAGCAATGCCCATTGCTAAGACTTTAAAAGTGATATTTTTTATATTTTTAAATCTTCATTCCAGATTTTTAAATAGTTATCAAATGTTGTCATTACATCAATGAACATCTTATTTTTTCAGCTTCCATATGATATAGTTGAAGTCAAAATTATAAGCCCTCCTGTGCATTTTTAAAATACAAAGAATTTCAACTCATGTTTAACAGAGCAAGAATATTATTTTCACAGTATTTTCTACAATATTTTTATCTTCTAGAGAAAGTCTTATTTAGGCTAGAATAAAAAGCAGTTTTACATTTTTTAAAACGATTTTACGGTCAATATTAGTAGCCCCCTTATGCTATATATATTTTCGTTTGTCTAACAAACCATGATCATAAAATGACTCGCCTAATTACCATAGTTAAGCCTTTAAATTGCACTTTAAGCAAATATCTTGAAAAATATTTGGCAAAATATTATGTACAGTCATCATGGCTAAGATAAAAGAAATCAGTTATTAGAAATGTGTTGAAATAAATATTTCCGTAAAATGAAATTGGATTAAAAATATATATACAGTGGGCTAATAATTCAGGAGGGCTAATAATTCTAACTTCAACTTCTGACTAAATCCCAATTTTAAATCCAGAGCCACAAATAAAAAATAAAAAAAGTCATAGCACAAAAACTAGTTCCCCTATATTTAAACTAACTTCTATCATTTGTGTTTATCCAGATTGGAAAAAGCGAGACCGCACTGACAGCCGACAACACTCAAAGCAGTAAAGAGAACATCCGTAGGGTAAGAAACATCACATCTCACCCATAATATACAACATACGCCTTTACACAAGAATAATGGCCTTCATAATTCATTTACAGGGCTGGATCTACACCCTCAAATGGGTCCAACCAAACAACAACATTGTGCAACCAACCGGCCAGCCACATGAAAATGACATCCAGTCCACTAGTGACGCATCCCAAATAAGTGAGAGCAGCGAATCAAGCGAAAGCCAGGAAAAGGTTGTCGTGAACAAGATGCAAGTGGATAACAGTGACGACACCAGTGAAAGCGCTGAACACAATGGTGTTGTTGCTACTGAATACAGCAACAGTAACAGCAGCAGCAGCAGTAGCAGCAGTGAAAGCACCGAGTCTAAAGACAGCGGCACGGATAGTGAAAGTCGCTCCACTGAGTGTGTGCCTGGCGATGACAGTCAAGATTGTGAGAGCGAGGAAAACCTTCCTCAGGATATCGGTGATGATGGAGCAACCGACCCTTTCAATGGCTTCTTAATGCCTGATGTCGCTGAGCCCTAGCGGCAGTTTAAGACATCATTTATTATGACTCAATGCTCTGATAGCTGCAAGTTGGAAATCCCAGGAGCGTAGTAAAATGGGAATGTTCTCTTAAGGAAAATGTTTATAGGAGGGTATGTAAGGAAATTTCTATAATATTAATATAAAATGGTGAATAAGCATTGTTAATTATTTTAAGGTAACTTGGTCTAAATCAGTGGTTCACAGAATGTTTTTTTTTTTACTTTTAAAAGATAATTTTAATTATGTTCTTAATCTTTAAACTTTTAATTACCAAACAGTCTTAGGATTTTAAGTGCAATGGTTTTGGCATAGAAATATAATACATTTTTTTATCGTAACTTTTAAATTATATAGAAGAAAAAATATAATAAATATAATATTAAATTAATTGCAAATTTAAATTGTGTATAATAAAATAAATAAATACATTTTAAAAGAAAAGGAAGCAAATTATTAGTATACTTTACATAAAAACTCATCTTCTAAATTACGCAAACAAATTATAAAAAATAAATAAGCTTTTCTTGCATTGCACAAAATTATCAATTCTGTTTTTAAAACTTCTGTATTTAGAACTTAAAAATTGTCTAAAAGAACTGGGAACCACTGATTTACATCAACTTAGTATTAATTAATATATATATATATATATATATATATATATATATATATATATATATATATATATATATATATATATATATATACATATACATACATACATACATACATACATATATACATATATACATACATACATACATACATATATATATATATATATATATATATATATATATATATATATATATATATATATATATATATATATATATATAGTTGAAGTCAGAATTATTAGCCCCCCACCCTGAATTTTTTGTTTTATTTCGGCTAGAATAAAAGCAGTTTTTAATTTTTAAAAACCATTTTAGGTTAAAATGTTTAGCCCCTTTAAGCTATTTTTTCCCAATAGTCAACAGATCAAACTATCATTATACAATAACTTGCCTAATTACCATAACCTGCCTAATTAACCTAATCTAATTAAGCCTTTAAATGTCACTTTAAGCTGTAAAGAAGTGTCTTGAAAAATATCTAGTTAAAAATTATGTACTGTCATCATGGCAAAGATAAAAAAAAAAAAGTTATTAAAAATTAGTTATTAAACTGTTATGTTTAGAAATGTGTGGAAAAAAATTATTTCCGTTAACAAAAAAAACAGGGCTAATAATTCAGGGGGGCTAATAATTCTGACTTCAACTGTGTGTGTGTGTATGTGTGTATGTGTGTGTATATATATATATTATTATATATTTTTTTTTATTATTGAATATCTTTGGAGCTGAAGTTGTTTGATGTATTTTTTATTATTATTTATATATTTTGTAGTCATTTATTTATATGAATTAACCATTTTCAAATAAAGTCATTAAAAATAAGCCATTGGTTGCCGTTTGTTTTTCCCAGCCGTTCTTAAATGCCAAGAAGTTACAAACGCAAGCACTTCTACATTCCATCCTCAAATGAAAGGGTTGCCCAAATGTGATCCAAGAGTAATTACCAACTTCATTGCCTATAATTTCACAGATTTACTTCATACCTCTGCAGAAGCATGCCTAAACAATAAAAAATGTGTATACACAGCTGAAATGGCTGTTGTGTGAAAAAGCACCTTCAGCTGTGTTCTTATTGTGACAATTATATTTATATACATGTGCGTGATTGACTTATATTTATGAGTAATATATCACGTCTGTCAAATGCGTGTCAATGCTGTTTTGATACCACAAGATGGTGGCAAACTTTAAAGAACAGTTTTGGACTTTCCCTAGGCAGAACATCATGAACTCACACAAACATTACATGCTCAACGGGACTTTCTGCCGTTTCATGTGTGCTGCTTTTGGCAGAGGGATAAAGATTCTTCGCACTAAGAATGAGGGTTTAGACATTGTAAGTTTGTTAATTACTGTGTAATTAAAATGACTGTTTTATGGTTTAATCTTCAGATCACAAACTAAGCACCGTTGGCTTTCATTGTCTAGACAATTGACAAGATGTGATCCAAGATAATGGCAGGCATTATCCATTATGAAAAGAGGAATGGTATGAGATGGAATCTTTTAAGAAAGGGGGGTTTTAGGCAGTGTTATGTTATTTTCATCCAAATATTTAAAACATAATAATTAAAAATACTATTTCTTAAGATTCACATTAATCTAAATATTTTTAGATTATATTAGATTAGATTATACTAAACATTTTTAGAAATATTTTTATTAAAAATACAAAATATTTTTTATTAAAAGTTAATTTGATTTAAATAATTACACAGGCAAAAATGATGAGTAGAAATGATATATATTTAATGTATTTATTTATTATTTAATAGTCTTGAACAAGAATTATCTTTTAACATTTTAGGAGGGTGTCCTATGGTGGTGGTGTCTGAAAGCCTCTGGTAAACAGACTAACAGAAAGGTAAACAGTTTCGGTTCCCAATGGAAACAAAACAATGGAGCTAAATAGGAAACAACATGTTACAGCTTTCTTTAGCTAAAGAATTCCGTTTTGTAAAAGGGTTAATCTTATTTTTGATATTGGACTACGTTATACTTTAAAGTGTGGGATATTTTTATAATAAGCTATGGTGTGAATAGACTCCTGCTTTCGATTTTGAACTTTACCTACGTTTCCATATGTAAAGATTTGTCACCTGTCCAAGTTCAACTGACTACTCCCTTCACGGATGCTACTTGAGAATACTGTGCGTGTTAAACTGCTCGTTGTACCGTGTTCGGGAGCGACGTGACAAACTTAATCGTTATAACCAAGGAAGCTAAAAGCAAACGTTTAACCACCACGCGCGTCACTGACAGTATAAAGTAGCATGCTGGTCGCGCGCAATCCTCGTCCACGCGCACCAGGCGGCGTCAAACTGAACTGTAAACTTAATCCGACACGAAGGAGCGAGTCGACTGTCTCTTAAACGTGTAAAATCACTATTAAACCGCACACGACTCGACAGTTAACTCGTTTGAAGGCAAAACAGCGCCTGTAACCCCAACTATTCTCGACGTTTTATGTGCAGTACAAAAAATATACCCAGTTTGAGATGGGGGGGAAGTCCCCGTGAGGAAATCCCCTGTTCATAATTTCGAAATTGAGTGAGGCTCTCGCAGACTGAAACTGCTCTGAAACATTTTGGTCTAACATAAGTTACAGCAGACGCCTGTGAGCCCTATGACACTCAGACCTGTACAATCTATGGGAAATTTGTACTATATGTGCTCGTTTTAACGGATTGCTCAGCATGGATGAGATGAAGAGGGAGAACGAGGCGCTGAGGGCGAAGTTGCGCAGCTGCTCTACTCTCAACACAATTTACCACGAAACACAGCAAGAAATTGCTCGTTTAAATCAGTTGGTGACCTCCAAAGACGGGATTATTGCCGATTTGAGGGCAAGACTGGGGAAGTATGAGAAAACCGTGGTCATTGAGGGAGAGGAACCTTATATTGTAGGGCCATCGAAGTCACTCATCGAAAGTTTGTGTAAGGAAATTTGCAAATTAAAGCAAAAACTGAAGGATTTAGAGAAAGACACTGCCCAGAAATTGGAAACCAGAGACAAAGTAAGTTAAACACAATTCTGAATTAATAATATGAAATAATTAATAACATTTTCTCTACTAATTAGAGTAAATTTGTTGTTTTTCTTGTCAGTATACTTTTCCAATGACTGTAAAAGAACTGTAAAGTATCCTCTCTATAAAATACTCCAATTCCTAACTCAAGAAATTGTAATGAAATTAATGTTATATCACAAAAACAAAACATGTAAACCAGCTTACAATGTGTTGCTGGTCTTAGCTGGTTTATGGTGGTCTTCAAGTCAGCTAACATTAAGTGCCTTTGAAAAACTGACCGGAAAACTTAAGTTTAAGCTTTGTTTTTCTTGCATGTTTGTACTGTTAGTCCGGCTTTTTATGTACAACTTTGTTCATGAATACAGAATATGCTTTAGTTTTGATGAAACAAGTGCATTTCGTGTTCACCTTCTCATTTGTGAATCTCCCGACTGCTTGTTTAAGGAGATCCAGAGATTGCAGGAAAAGTTGAAGGAGAGGGATCAAGAGTTGCTGACCATCAGGGAAAGACCAGAGCAGGAGAAAGAGAGGGAGATCCAGCAACTGCGCACCACATTGGCCGAAAGAGATCGGACACAGGCCACCAGGACTGTACTTTGCAACTCTCTTGCTGAAGAAGCCGATCAGTTAAGGGCCCAGTTGGGGGCCACTGTGCAGGTGTGTCAGGAGCTTTTGGGACGGCTGGAAAACGAGAAAAACAAAACAGCCATGACGGATCAGAGAACTCAAGTTCATGAGGTGCGTTGTGGAAACTGTCAGTCTGCAACATTTAAGGCACCTTTAAAACAGCTGCCTAATGATTATATTTGACCTTATATTTTATCAGACATCAGATTCCCCCGAAGTTCCCCAGCTAAATGTCATCATCAGCAAGTTAGAAGAGGAGAACGACCAGCTCAAGAAGAGAGTGGCATATGTAAGGATCACATGATGGAACTGTTGTTTGATCATCACCCTCTGACATTTGTTTTACCTGTCATATGCTGAAAATGTCATACTGTAACTGTTACGGAAAGAATCAACAGTGTAAAAAAATTCTTGGAAAATGTCATGTAATTTTTTCACATCACAACTTGTTTTGTTCCATTTCAGGTGGAAAGTTTAAACTCAAAATGGCAGAAGTATGACTCGAGTAGAGAAGAGTACGTGAGGGGTTTGTGTCAGAAGTTGAAAGAGTCAAATGGCCTGGCTTCCGCAGATCCGACTCTAACCCAAGCCCCGACTGCGGGACACGTGGCTTTGTTCCAGCAGGAAATTGTGAGACTCAACGGCCTCCTGCAGGACAAGATGATGGAGTGTGAGAGATTCAGTAGAGAGAGGGATGACAATGCGAGAAGAGACCAAGAGCAGATACAGATGCTCGAGCAGCAGGTCTGTATCCGTTCAGTGTGTACAATCCTATTAAATAGGAAGTCGTTGTATTTTTGTCATAACAAAGGTGAGAAGTAGTTTTGTTGTTTGGCTTGCTGCCCATAACACAAATGGCTTACTTGTACACTCACAGGTTCTGGCCTATGTTGAAGACTTTAAATCGGAAAGGGCAGACCGAGAGAGGGCTCAGGGTAAAATCATGGACCTTCAAGATGAAGTTGGGCGACTTCAGCTGCAAATACGTTCACAGGCAAGTCTAATTATTAATTATTCATCAAGGTATTTAAAAATAATTTTCAAATATGCATTGTATCATTTAAAGTCCCAATAAAATCATTTGTAGCATTCTGATTTAGCGTTACAAAATAAATAAATGGACATAAGCATTTATAAGTTGTATTTGAACAAACACGACAGGGTTTTTTCTGGCACAAAATAAGCCGAAGATGGAAGATGAAATGTTTGCTACTTGAAACAAGCACATTTTGCATTCTTTTTAGTAACCCACTCAAGTTAAACATGTTCATATTTAAAAAGGCAGATATTATATGTAACTAAATAAATGACCAATGCTTGAGCATCACTTGGGGTCTGTTGGTTGCCGTGACTGCATGCCTGATTGGTCAAAAGCTGGAGGTGGTGCAAAAAATTATGGAGGTGGCCACCTCGCAATTCTCTTTGCAGGAAAAACCCTGCATGCCATTTTACACAAACAATAATGATCAATTAAGTGTTTACCAAAGACAATAAAATGTCAGCGTAATCCCAAATAATTTTATTAAAAAAATAAAATAAATCAATCAAATTAAAACTATTTAATTTGTCATTTTAACATATTGTCTGAATCTTTGCTGCTATCCCTTAAACCACTAGGTTTCGCCCATTTGACAAGTTTTCAATCAGTGAATTTAGTAAGAATTTAAATTATCTTCTTATTTTTTTAAAAGAACACACTTCTGCTCACCAAACCTGCATTTATTTGATCAAAAGTACAGCAAAATCAGTCAAAACATGACTTTCATTAATAATTTTAATATTTAATCACAGTTTAATGATGATATTCATAATTAATTGATGAAGAGAACGTCAAACAAAATCAATCATTTTACCTAAATTCAAAAGCTTTTGACATCATACACATTATACTACTTAAAAGCAGTGACAGTCAGTATTTTTTTATTTGTTACCTTTACTTAGCAAGGATACTTTATATTAAAATTTAAAAGTATGTTTCTTTATTTAACCGGATAAAAACCCATTGAGATTAAAATCTTAGGTCCACAACACGACTTATGAATAAAAAATAATAATAACAACAACAATAATAGTAATAATAATAAATAGAAAGTTAAGATAATATAAAAATTACAGTTTAGTTGTTCAGCTATACCACATTACAATATGTTAAAAACACATACACTGAGAAATGGACTGTTGTTTGTCAAAAAGGATAGAACGAAAACATTTGATTGGAATGAGCTCAGATATTAAAAGTATTTAATAGTTATGATTATTAAAAGTAATGATAAAGGCATTTATAATGTCACGGAAGATTTCTATTTCAGATAAATGCTTCTGAAAACAAAATTAAAATATTCTGCTCAGCAGTTTTTAACATGCTAAAAATTCAGCTTTGAAATCAGTAAAAAAAAAAGAAAATGTACAATATATTTAAAGAGAAAACTACTTTTTTAAATAGTAAAAATAATTCACAGTTTTATAGTTTTGCTGCATTTTGGATCAAATAAATGCAGGCTTTGTGAGCAGAAAAGACTTTAAAAAAAACAAAAAAAAAAAAAACATTTAAAATCATTCCGTCTTAAAACTTTTGACTGGTAGTGTACAGTTTGTTGATGAAACCCATTATTTGACCTTTTGAAAATGGTAAAACACTGAAGTCAACACCAGAATTTTACTTGACATTTCATATGCTTTCACACACACGCACGCAAGCTGCGTTCTCTGACCGTTTTACAAAACTTAACTCAGAATATTGAATTAAACATCCTTCTAAGTCATTCTGCTCTAAATCATTTGACTGGCAGTGTACACAATGTTAATAGAACCTATTATTTGACTTTTTAAAAAGATAACACAATGAAGTAAACACCAGCATTGTACTTGACATTTCATATGCTTTCACACACGCACACTGCGTTCTCTGTCCTGTTTACAAAACTTAACTCAAAATGTTCAATTAAACATCCTTCTAACAGTCACTCTCTCACACAGAATGTCCAAGAAGCTTCAACCTCACGCCATAAAAAAATCATGGTCCTAAAAAAAGCTAGCCACCGACAAACGGAAACGGCAGAACCACTAAGAAACAGTCCCCCAGAAACAAGCTCAAAGAGGACTATCAGTAACACTGCGCCACAAGGAGCCGCCGAGCTGCAATGCCCTCGGTGTTTCATCAGGTTCGACGACGAGCACACGACCGAATACCTTAAACACTGGGACGAGTGTGCCAAGCTGTGAGTCTCTCACCTCACTGACTTTACACAGAAAGCACTGAGGACACAATCACTACAAGCTCACATGGGACTTATTGGGAGATGCGACAAGACAGGGACACGTTTTATGGGATGGAGTCGTAGGAAGAGCTTTTTCTAGTGAGTTTTTGGCTTTTCGAGGTCGTTTGTGGCCTAGGACTCAAGATATGAGTTGGTTGTGTCCAATCTAAAGGCTTACTCACTTCGCTGTCGTTGAATGCAGATGGTTTGGTTATGAAAAGTTATTCAGTCTTGGGCATCTGCGGTTGTCACATAAGGGTTTTGCCAGTTCTTTGGTGTCATGGTTTACAGCATGGTACGTTTAGAGTTCCGAATCAAACTATGCTAAAGGCCAAATTGCAGATCTGTGTGTGTATACCTCACCTATTTGTAGTCTCTATCAGCTGGTTTGCACTTTTTTTTTGTACTATTTTAATTATTGTCTACACAATTTATTATATTTAATTCATTAGTTCCTTTATTATTAGATTTTGAATATAGTTCATGTTGTTTCGTCATGGTGCTATATGTACAGTATTTTGTAATGTTTCCATTTGTAGTTATACTGTTATATATCTTTAAATCAGATCATTTAAATTATACCAAAGGAAACAGCATCACAATGCACACTATTAATAATCTTTAGATTTGTTTTGCGATTATTATTCATTTAAATAACATCCAACTTTTTTTATTTTAAATGTTATATGGCTTCATCATATAACGTGTTATTACTTTCTCAGACATTAAGGCACCTTTTTGACTGTGAGGTACTTGCCATTTGATCCCCCCTCTGTAGTTGAAAACATTCTAGTTTTAAGTAAGAGAGGAAGTTCCCTACATCCTGGTAAACTGAGACATCAAATGTTCACATCTCAGATGCTGCGTCTGACAAAATGGCCTTCTACTACAGCACGTTTGAACACTTCTGCAGAAATTTAAAAGAATTTATCGAAAAACAAAATTGAGGAATAACAGTGATGCCAAAGGAAGACTTTAAGATGTTGAGAGGATTTATTTTTGTAATAAAAGACATGCTTAAAAGACTTTCTTTAAAAACCATGTGTAATTTTATTTGTGTGTTTGTGCGGTCATAGTTAATTATTAGCAAGATATATGAAACCAGACAGTTGCGATAATGCTGGAAAGATCATGGGGTGTGTCATAAAGCATTAAACTCAAGTCGCATGGGATTTTTGTAAGTGTGTGTGTATGCGCACAAGAGCTGGAAAGCCCCTACCCGAGCACATCTGAATGGACAGCTATAACTGCAGTGAATTCTCAGCTGTCCTGAGGCCTGGAAGTGAATAGCAGAAGCAGGCGACTGTGGGGTAGAGGAATATAGCAGGACTGGCTATTTAAAGGGGAGGAGGCTGTAAAGCCAAACAAGACTAGTGTCTACTTTCTGAGATGCAAAAACGATTATCAAATGCTATTTGTGTTATTAATTACTCCCCTTCATGATGTTAATAAACACAAATTAAGATATTTTAGATGAAATCCAGGAGCTCTCTGACTCTCCATAGACGGCAAGGGTCATGAGACGTTCAAAGTCCATAAAAGGAACTGAAAACACTGTCAAAACATTCCATGTGGCTTCAGTGGTTCAAATAATCATACAAAGTGATTGCTGTGTGTTTATTATAGGCAATACAACATGTTTATATACAGTTAAAGTCAGAATTATTAGCCCCCTTTGAATTTTCTTTCTTTCTTTTTTTTAATATTTCCCAAATGATGTTTAACAGAGGAAGGATTTTTATTTTATTTTTTTTGTCTGATAATATTTTTTTCTTCTGAAGAAAGTCTTATTGGTTTTATTTCAGCTAGAATAAAAGCAGCTTTAAATTTCTTAAAAAAACATTTTAAGGTCAAAATTATTAGCCCCTTTTAAGCTATATTTTATAGTCTACAGAACAAACCATTGTTATATAATAACTTGCCTAATTACCCTAACCGGCCTAGTTAACCTATTTAACCCAGTTAAGCCTTTAAATGTCACTTTAAGCTGAATAAATTTGTCTTGAAAAATATTTAGTCAAATATTATGTACTGTCATCATGGCAAAGATAAAATAAGTTATTAAAAATTAGTTTTTAAAACTAATGTTTATAAACCTGTTCTTCTCTCTGTTAAACAGAAATTAGGCAAAAAAATAAACGGGGTTAATAATTCAAGGGGTCAAACATTCTGACTTCAACTGTATAACAAAGTCAAAACATCATATTGCATGTATTAAATATGCAGCTAAAGCGAGGATCACAGACAAACAAAAATGTTGGTGTACAAAATTGTTCTTGGAGCTTCGTTTGATAACAGTTGAAGCACTGAAACCACATGGAGTATTTTGAAAGTGTTGTTGATTCCCTTTCTAAACTTTGAATGTCTCTGGACCATGGCCATCAACAAAGACGAATATTCCATCTCAAATATTGTCCTGAAAATGAATGAAGGTCTTAAGGGATTTGAAGTACATGATGGTGAGTGATTAACAACAGAATTTTCGTTTTTGAGTTAACTTATCCTTTAAGCCGTTTTAATAGATTCAGATAGAGGTTAAAACTTGAGAGTTTGGTCAGGAAAACCTGTGGTTTTGTTAGATATTAGTTAACACAGTCCTGGAGTAATTACATTTTTGTAGGCCCAACTCCAGAAATGAATACATATACTATTAAAGCGGTTCCAGTGGCCTCAAGTCAGTTACATTTTTGGCTGAACAGCTGAAATAGAGGCTTGTGGTTATCACAAGCTCATGAAAATTTCACAACATAAAAATACATCAAGAATACCACCTTGTGTCTTTAAAGAAAGAAGCAAAATTGGACTATTTGCTGAGGTTATAGGGAACATTGTGTTTTAAGGAGTTTAATGGAACTTTAAGTCCACTTTTAGGCTTCAAAAACTTTTTTTTCAAAAGCTGGTTTCTGCAATAAAAAGGAATTGTCTAGAACTGTGGGATGCCAACAAAACCATTAATGCAGTGCACTATTTCATGTTTAGCATGTGTAGGCGTTTCCTGTGCAACAAATGCCAGACTGTCAAAAACATGCAAAAATAAATTCATCTAAAGACTAAAGTATATTTAGCTGATTCACTTTGAAAAGTTTATTTCAATTATTATGAATCAAAAATATTAAAATCCAATTCATCCTATTAGTACATCCAATCATTGCACAGATTGAATATGACCCGTAACTGAAAAACCATTGTTAAATTTACAGAATAATTTAAAAAAAAAAATATTAAAATAATAGCACTGAGGTCAAACTGAATCTTTTGGAGTAAAACTGACAGGTATGACCCAAATATACACTTTAAAATATACGTTTCAAACAGAGGGTGTTTTTATAGTGCCTCAAAGGACCATTCTGGCTACCCCAGAGATCTTTTTAGTGAATGGCGAAGCTAGTATATGTCAATAAGCTTTAGCAACATTAACAAAATGGTTTCTGAAGAAATAGTCTTTGAATCGTCCACTGTGGTGTTATTTGGGAATGTATTGGCCCACATTCTGTTTATATTCAAGCTCACGTCAGACACGATGGTCCCCCTGAGTCAATAAACCCTTTATGAGCTTAGACCCACGACCCTAGTTTGCTGCCACGGGGGTAGGAGGGAAAACTCCAGCAGGAGTTTCATGCTCTCTACATAAGTCACCATTCTCGAAATGACGTCACCCCAGCACAAGCACACACTTCGGCAGATGCTTTGTGACCGCAGCAGTTTTACAAAGAAGTGTCATTTTTCGACATGGAGTCATTTGTTGTCAAGATCATGTTGCTGTGTAGAACGTAACTCGAGATTTTGCGAAAGCTGAAGTGATGGATGAGTGGGCCCAAAGAAGTTCTGTTCTTTTATGAAAGCTTTTTCCTTGGAGAAGTGAAAGGTAGGCTGGAAGGGATTCCCCACCATACACACACACACACACAGACTTAACACACACCTACCATAAAGTGAGGCCCACACATCTATTCAGAAAAGCACACGCACCACAATCCACCTTCAGAAAGTGGAAATATTTCACTCACATGATCGTGAATTTTACAGTTAAAAGATTTCGTAGAAAGTCTCAATGGGGTTTTAATCTATTCTGAAGGTGCTCTTTAGGCACTCTGTTGACCTTATGCAGCGCTGAAGCTAGATGTAAACTAACACACATTGGTAGACTGCTAGGTTAGCGTTAGAAGAAGATGACTTACTTTAAAAAGTTGCTTTAGATGTCTGTTAGGGATCAAATAGGGATTAAATATGAACAGATGTTAACTACCATTATTAAACAGCTGTCTGGAAAACTTGATTCTGATTGGACAGTCATGACATTCCAAGAAATGCAAGGAATAAAGTGCTTCTATTATCGCAATATAAACAGTCATATTGTGTGTCTGAAGGGCAAAATGTCTCACTTTTAACATGTCTACTTGCCACAAAACTCAAAAATTAGACAAAACATTGTTCTAAGCCATAATAGTTGATATGAATCTGTAATTAAAGGGAAAGCTGACCAAAATGAAACTGGCTGAATAGAGCTGATCGAGCATACCCTAACCTACATATTATTTTATCACAAGATGGTGCTAAACATCGAAAAAGTGTCAGAAACACAGACGAGCATATATATGGATGTGAACATATTCATCCATGGTCAAGAAGATGAGGCAAAGAACCCCGATGAGCCTTTGTTAGTCCGTTGTTGATATTTTGAATTATTACATGACTATCTGAAATACTGAATTCTGATTGGCCTAGTCATAACATTCAAATGAGCTATTCCCGGATAACAACCTCTGAATAAAACCAACTCATACAGGAACTTCGACTCACCTTAGCCATCAGTGAATACATTCATCCATATATTGACATCCATATTATTATGAGTCTGCTTGTCTGTCATGCTGCCGTTTTTGACTGTTATCATCCTGTGAATGAATATTATGTATGTTTGGATGTTTTTTTTTAACCAGTTTCGTTTCTGTCAACGTCAGGTTTTTGACTCTTTGGTGTCATTTTGTGATTGAATAATATGTATGTTAGAATATGCTTTATTCAGCCACGTTAGTTTCTGTTAATGTCGTGTTTTTGACTCTTTGGCGCCATTTTGTGATTGAATAATACATATGTTAGTATATGATTTATTCAGCCGTTTCTGTCAACATTGCATTTTTGACTGTTTGGCGCCATCTTCTGACTGAGGCCCTCTCCACATGAACACATGTATTTTAAAAAACACATTTTTTTTTTTATGTGGTTACGCTATTTGTCCACATGAAAACACTGTCAGTTGATTAAAACCGAAACTTTCTGATAAAAACTTTCTAGAGTTTTGATTTTTTAAAAACTCCAGTTACAGTGTGGTCATGTGGACACTAGAACCGGATTTTTCGCCTCATTACGTCAGCGTGCGTGCTGTAGTCTCCTTTCTGATTGGTCAACATGGCAGGGTTCACACAAAATGCGGAAGACGCAAATGACGCAACATTCTACAAATCCGCAGCAAACGCAGCACATATTATGTGTCGCACACATGAGGCGGTAATTATAAATAACCAACTCTGTTCTCACGTTTGCATTGATTTGTATGCAATTTACTCGGGTAAATACTTAATGCCCTGCTTGATGTGAACCCAAGTGTTGGTTTGACGCACCCTTACCATGTTCCACAGTGTGATTTTGCTTATTGATTAAGCATAGCTAATGTGAAAGTGCATTTCAACATCCAGGTCACATGAAACAAAGCATGTTACAAGAACAGAGTATTTAAAAACTACTACTAAAAACCTGGATTTGAACTAATTATCTCTGCACGCTATTCAGGAACTCTCACCGCTCCACTAAATCACGTAAAACCTCAACTCTTTTCTGAAGCTTTTTCAGAGCAATACATTAAAAAAATGACCACTAGGTGTCACTGTAGAGACAGGTTTCAAAACTTTTCGAAGCTTCGACACATTTGCTTTAACTGTTTGAGTGTTTCATAAAGCCTTGCTTTGCCCACCACTGACTTTCATGTAAGCAGAGAAAACTGTTCATAAAAATACTCGTGTACATGTGAACATG